TAAGCTTGGGTCAAGCCGAGAAGTTTCTCAAGCAGTGCTTGATACTACCCTTTGCTTTGCATTCAAAAGGGTAGATGCTATGCTGTACATATCAAATTTTGATTCTGAGGTTGACTACCTCAAAAAGTCATTTGAAACTCTGGAGGTAATTATTTTCATCAGGTCATCTTCAACTTCTCGCTGTATATTGAATTCTCTAACACTAAACAGTTCTGATTTTGATTTGATAGAAGGAAGGTTTGTGCAAGGGTTTTTCTGTTTGACATGGTGAATAAGTAAATATGCTGGTACCCTATTATGTTGCTCGGACTCACATAGCTGGTACCTATGACAAATGAAACTCAAAAATAGCCTTATCTGATTTTGGAAGGAAGTGCTGTAGCATCAGTATTATAGGACATCTAATTGTTAGACTGGAAAATAATCATTTTTTTCATCTTGAACTGTCTGAACTTGATACTCTTGTGCTGAAGTTGGCATGTGTTTCTCTCTTGAACTGTGGAACTGCATGCTAACTGGACCAGTTCAAGTATTCATACTCTGTTTCTTATTATGTCACATAAACCAATAGAAGAAAAGTCTTCTTAATATATTTGAACCTTATAAAGCTTTGCTACTTGACAGGCTGCTTGTGAAGAGTTGAGAAGTAATAGAATGTTCTTAAAGGCTTCTGGAAGCAGTGCTGAAGACTGGTAACCGCATGAATGTTGGGACAATCGGGGTGATGCACATGCGTTTCAAACTAGATACCCTCCTAAAGCTAGTAGATGTGAAGGGAGCTGTGGGAAAACAACCCTCTTGCATTTTGTGGTACAGGAGATCATAAGAAGTGAAGGTGCTCGTCTTTCTGGTGGAGATCAAGATCAACAGTCGGCCATGAATGATGACGTCAAGTGCCGGAAGCTTGGCCTCCAGTTGTTTCAAACCTTAGTTCAGAGGTTGTAAATGTTAAGAAAGCTGCTGCTATGGATTCAGAAGTGCTTCATAGTGAGGTCTTAAAGCTTTCTAAAGGGATTGGAAACATTGCTGAAGTTGTCCGATCAATTGAAGCAGTTGGCTTGAAGGAAAGCAGCATAGAAAGATTTTCAGAGTCTATGAGAAGGTTTATGAAAATGGCAGAAGAGGAGATCATAAGGCTCCAAGCTCTAGAAAGTGTTGCCATGTCTTGGTGAAAGAAATAACTGAATACTTCCATGGAAATTCAGCGAGAGAAGAGGCTCACCTTTAGGATCTTTATGGTGGTAAGAGACTTCCTAATGGTTCTTGATCGCGTTTGCAAAGAAGTTGGAATGATAAATGAACGTACAATAGTCAGTTCTGCCCACAAGTTTCCAGTTCCAGTAAATCCAAATCTACAGCCTGCCATTAGCGGGTTAGCAGCAAAATGGCAGCATAGTTCATCGGACGAGGATAGTTCATCCGCTCATTAGCAACATTAGCTTATAGCAGGCAGAACCCTAGTTTTTGTTTTTGGCCAAAAACTAATGTAATGTACTATAAAGGCCATCTAGGAGTTTGTCTGAGACTTGGCCTGCCTTTTGAGGTACATGTAATCTTTTTTATAATCTTGTATTTATATAGTTCTTTGTATAAGATGTGGAAAGTTATCCATTCCCATAGATAGAGAGATAGATAGATAGCTAGGGACATCCCTTTAGGAAATAACAAAGGCAAATATTTTGCCGGAAACATTTTGTGTTTTATATATCTCAAAGATGAGAGGCCTCAAATCAAGAAAAAAGGGTGCAATAATTAATTGTTGAGTGTTATTTCATATTTGTAATGTAAAGAGAAACATAGGATATGTACCTCCATTCAAAAATGAACATTGTGAACCAGCTGTGGTCTCCAACTTTATTTGACCGTTGGTTCGAAAAAAGAACTTTTAACTAATTTTAATTATGAGAAATGATAAAAAGGAAATCATAATGGAAGCTCGCAACGCATTTTAGGGAGAGAAAAGCCAAATGCTCCGCATTTATGTTTCTGTAAAGAGCATAGTTCCAACTTACGTGTTTACATCAAATTATAATAATTCATATATTACAAGTAAATATGATTTAGTGATAGCAGTGCACATTCAAATACACATGTTATCTACTTATTGAGTTGGTCTATAGTTTTTCAATTCTAGAAACGCAACTTTTAGCATTGGCAAACCCATAAATTCAATAGTCAATTCCTCATTCCATTTGAAGAAACAAGTTTTCAAAGAGTTACTATTATTAGTTTGGACAAACCATAAAACAGTATTCAATACTGAGTTCCAACACGAATCACTCAAAAACAGGTCCAGAAATGACTATAATATGGCAATACCAGCCTAAGCTGGATATACTGCAATGGAACTTGAGCATAAAGCCTCTTTTCAACTGTGAATCATTGTACAACTAATCTAGTAGATAAATCAGGTCTTTGGTCTCATAGTCAAATAAATTTCCATGGACTTCCTACATACAGGTTAAAACCCAATTGACATCTAGTTTTTTTCAACGAGATGCTCATTTGTTGGTATACTAAATTGACTGCAGATAATCAGCATCCCATCGTTCCAGAACCCTACGAGCTTCTTCTTCGGTAGCTGGGACAACTTTACGGATTCTGAATTGAATATTTGTGGCCTTAGCCTCTGGACGGACAGTAAATGTGAAGTAGAACCTATTAGATACCTGCATTTGGAGTTTAGAGAATAAGAGCAATTCCGGGATTTTGTAGATAGCTACATTAGAACCACCTACTACTTCTGCTACAACATTAACTACTCCCTTGGTTTTGTTTATAAAGTGTTGTTTGATCAAACATGGCCTTTGAAAAGGAACAAAAGACTTCCAACACATACCAAAATTACCCTTAGACATGACATTTCTGTGGATATAAGAGCATACTATTAAGGGTAAATGGAAAATTGAAGTTGAAGAATTAGAAAGGTGTCTTACTTCATGGAACAAACCAAAAAAGAAAAAAAGAGTCATATATAATGGAAAAGAGGGAGTAGTTGTTTCATAGAAGTTTAATATACCTCACTAGACCTCTGCTCTGGCCTAGTAACATGAGCAACAACTTCTACATTGATCAGAGGCTGATCAGTATTCTCATGTTCAGTGTAAAGTACACATGATTTGAAACGCAAAAAGTCTCCAACATCAACCTGCAACAGTAAAAAAAATTGCACCACTGGGAATAAACTAGGAAAGGAAAATGTTAAAATGATACCATCCTCTCTTTTGTTCGTTAAGCATACTACTGACTGAGCGAGCATTTCCTTTTAGCAGTATTTCATCTTTTACATGTTCACATACAGAAGTATGTTAGTGCTGGAGGAACCAAGAGCAATTCTTGCATTTTTGAATTGTCTAGCTAACAGGTAGTCTAATGCTGGAGGAAAGAACAACCGTCCATGTACTAGTTTTGGTCGTGGGTAACAACTATTAGGTATGCTGGTGTTGTAGGAAGGGTATTCTGGTGTTGGTGCGAGACCAACCATACCCATTGGTTAAAATATATTTAAACAGTTCCACTATGAATCAAGTTAACAGTGATAACTGAAGAGGAGAGGTTCAAGATAGTGCACTCACAGGTCTAAGGAAATTAACATGATCAACCTCCAGAAGGATGGCATCAGACCGGCAAAAGCATAAGCTGTCGAAAATGCAAGTTCAAATGCTCTGAGCATCAGGAATCCCCCAAAGATCCGACCATGAATATTTCTTTGCTGCGGCTGGCAAATCAAAGAATTCTCAAGGCGGGTATCTTTGAGAAGAATGGTGTCCCGATCTGCCAAGGCTGGCATGTCACAGAATATTCTACCTTCAGCTAATAGTTCTTCAAGTCTGTTAACTCCCCCATTTTCAATCTCCTTTCTGTCTCCCCCCCTCTTTCTTTTCCTAAGGTTATTTCTAGCTTCAGCTGCTTCATAGAGCAGTTTTTCTGCTTCTGCCTCGGGACATAATCGATTCACTGGAGCAGCTTTCCCTGTCTTGTAATCACGAGCAACAAAAATGAAGTTTGCAGTCAGAGCGACTGATTCTGAGGGATCACTGCTCCCTGCATGAAAATCATCCACGTTAAACTGGATTCGCAGATGTCAAAAAGAAATTCAATGAGTAAAATTGACGAAGGTGAATGCATAAAATGTAAAGTTACTTTGTGGGATTTAGTTATCAAGGAAATAAAAGATATGGTGAGACAGAATGAAAGAGAAGCTAGCAGCATGCGGGGTTATTCACCACGTACTTAATGATGAGTAAGCTGTTAAACATAGGCTCCTTTCTTAGCTTTACTAACAATCTCACTGGTGTTGACGGTATAAAAAATACCACAAGTGAGAAATTGAGAGAAATGTGTGAATAGCAGGCACAGAAGAAAAGAATATTCTCTAGTTTCATAACAGTACAAAAGCATGTATTATATGACTGGGATGGACAAACGCAGTATTATTCCTACAAGGAGAGAAGATCTACATTCATGAATGGTGCATCAGGTAATTATTTGGAGGATGACAGCAATGCTGGCATACTTCAACTATTAATTGCCATGTCTAAGGGTACAAGTCAAAGACGGAACGTTTTGAAATTTAACAAGCTGATGTGGGCTTAAAATAAGAAAAAACGAGACTAGGTCTCAAAACCAGGTTTAGGCTAAGATTGTCATTGTTTTTAACTAAACCAATTCATATACTAGGTACAGATGAAGATGGTAAGCTATGTAAAATACTTTCTGGTCTCTGTGAGTAATAGTCTTTGTTGTGAACTAAAAGATCCTTCTTTTAATAAGTATGGAAGTGATTAACTAAAAGATATTAGTTTGATACATTTGAGAAAGGCAGCTAATGACCTTGAAAATTGTTGCATGCTAATGCATGAATTCAGTTTGAGAAAATACCATTTGCTGGCTGTATAACGTCAAGTTGAATTTCAATTGAAGAAAAACCAACCCAAATGACTGCACCAACCATTTTCAGATCAGTGTCAACGCTGATCGGCTTCTTCAGCACCATTTTATCAACAGAAGCAGTTACCAAATAGAGTGGTCTAGTCATGCTATCAACGTCCGAGCAATGCTGATTCAACCAACAGCAAGTTTAGCAGACAAATTCCAATAATATGTTGAAGTACATAAGCTAGCACTCAAGAATGTCAATTTCTAAAGAAAAGTTCCAAAAATCGTACAGTGCACCTCCATATTGTTCCTTAAAAAAAGTTGCTACTTAAAATTAAACCAAGGCAGTGTTTAGAAGTAAGGAACACATTAATTAAAGCTCCAAGAAGATCCATCCAACTATCTCTAAAATGAAGATCTTGTTTGCACCAAATATAAACGAAAAAGAGAAACTTTTAACCCCCCAACGTAGTTTTCCATACCCTGAAAATTCTTACTATTTCTCTCTACATCACCAAAAAATTAAAAAAGAGAAATTCCACACTTCTTTCTTGTTCGACCTTTCTCATCCTCCAACATGCTAAAATCTTTTCCATCTCTTCAGCAACAGCATTAATAGAAATAGATTAGTGCCCATAACTCCACCGCAAAATTGCAATATAACCCTAGGTGATCCACATCCTCAACACTCCTCTTGCTCATGCATTACCAATTATTAGTATTACTATGCAATCCCTCCTTTTTAAGTTATCCACCATTAGGGTTAAAACACAAATGGCACCCCATGTAAAGAAAGTCACTTTCTTCAGTAACTTTTTTTTTCCATTTCAAGGTCATATGATCTTCTAGCACTCCCATTGCATAAGCAACTATAGTACGATTTCACCAAACCTTTTTTCATGATGCTCCTTTCTATATCTTCTTTGTCAGTATAATCATAAACCACATCTTCCCCTTCTCAGCCTCAAGTCCGCAGTATCATTGGCAATAAAACTTATCCAAGATCTGTCTTCCACTCACAAAGGCACTCTCTAAGTAAGAGATAGTTATCCGTTATTATCCTCTACCTTATTGATAGTACCTTAGCCATGGTCTTGTACATGCTCAGTACCAGACTTACGGGTCTTCAATATCAGATGCCCCCTTCTCTTGGGTATCAAAAATATAAATGATGAATTGAAAGCTCATCCCAGATGACCCACAATAATATGTATGCATTCCAATACATATTTTTTTTTTTTTAAAAAAAGCATCCAATTCTGGCCTTTACCTAAGCAACTCGAAAATAACTGACGGTTATTGGTAGGATTAGTCCTGTTGATCTGAGTCTGGGTATCTTTCATCCATTCAGTTGATATAAGAACTCTATGATCCAAAAAGCCATTCTCCTATTCCACCACCTCAATCTTACCAGAAAAAGTTGGTGCATCATTGAATGACCTTGAGTTAGCCATTTACCAGTGAACAAGTTCAGATCCAATCTACATTTTACTTCACCATACACTACATTTACAAGCAAATGCAAATCAAATTGTAACCTATTTGTTGGCGAGATTGGGTGATGGCTGCTCACCCGATATTACATTTGGACCCCTG